CCCGTGGTAATGCAAACAATATTAAATAATCTAAATAATTCTGCCTCGCGGTTCGGCATGCGCTTCACACCTGCAAAGTGTAAAGTGCTACTGCAAGACTGGGTGGGCTCGAACCCTAGCGGATGAACCGATTGAGGTAGTAGACAAATTTGTTTACCCGGACAGCTATATCAGTCCCGGGTGGTCTGGCGAAAGATGATATTTCCACCCGGATTGGGAAGGCCAGAGCAGCTTTTGCGAACCTACGTCACCTGTGGCGTAGGCGCGACATCAGCTTCTCTGTCAATGGTCGAGTTTACAATGCTGCGGTGCGCCCCATATTACTATATGGATCAGAAACCTGACCGCTGCGTGCTGAGGACGTCAAAAGACTTCAGTGTTCGACCATCGATGCCTTCGGAGCATTGCCCGAATCGGGTGGGAACACCGGATCAGCAATTCTGAAGTGCGTCGAATGGTATTCGGGAGAAATAACTCACCCTCAATAGATGGAATGATCACACTGCATAGGTTGCGCTGGCTTGGCCACTTGCTGCGTATGCCAGTCGACCGACTCCCTCGAAGGACTCTTTTCGCACCACCACGTGAAGAGTGGAAGAGAGCCAGAGGCGACCAAACAATGACTTGGCAGCGAATTGTGAAAGCCATTACCAGCGAACTCAGCTGCGCTGGTCACTGCCGTCTTCCTGGATGGGGCCCCGAGACGGGCCACATCAATGGCTAGAGACATTATCACACATAGCCCAGTCGCGCCCTCAATGGCGCTCGTGCATCCAAGCTATTGCCTTCAATGCATAGCTTCTTTTCCAACCCCCCCTTGGCAACCCACTGACAGTGCTGGATTTATGCACCAATTTCCCAGCTCGCGCATGCAATGCGCAGCTACCTACCCCCCTCAATCATCGGTGAACGAAACTGCGGCAGCTACAACCACTGTACGACGATTACGCGGTTACTACAGTTGACAGTGATGATGAAACCCCGACGTTCCGGTCTCTTCGAGTTTAAACCATGACGACCTCGGGTATACATATGACTTCGCTCCCGTTTTTCAAAAGGAGGGAGAAGCACAAGCTTTACAGTAAAAACCGACCAAGGTTGTGCAATCCTTCCTTGTGAGTTCGACGCTCACAGCTTGCGAAGTCATGGTAATCACGTCCGATCTTTGAACATGCCTCTGAGAACTCAAGGGGGACACTGGAGGTTCTAGAAGACTATATGTACCTTAAAAGTTGTGGTTGAACGAACGAAGTCATCGCGCTGATCTCAAATGCCGGATTTGAGTTGGTCAATTGTAGCATCAAGAGGTATATCATGCATGCATGTCGTGCATCAGATTACAGTGTTGGATGTCTTATTGCAAGGCTAAGAAACTTGGCCACCTCGGGTAGATGATCTGAGACATCTCCAGATCTTCGATCACCGATGCCTGAGAAGTGTAGCCGGATTTAGCTGAGCTCAGCGAATTCGCAATACGATGATCAAGAAGCGGGTCTTCTGTGGGACACAAGACAGTTGACTCAAGTAGTACACGGTCATGTGACACGCATGCTGAGCTACCATTTAGCGAAGAGAGAGTAGCAGAAAGCTACAGATGAACATCAAATGACGTGACGGAAGGGAGTAGCGTATGTGGGTGGGTGTTGCTGGTGCTGCTCTCTTTCCGGGATGCGATCCAGGTGACCCCCCGTGTGCATAGCTGGAGACAAGATCGGTAGGGCCACCAGTCCACTTTACTGGTGTTCGTGCTGTCAGTTTCAATCCAGACTCTTTGATTGAGTGTTGGAGCTTGTTTGTTTAGGTTAGACCTAGGTAACCCTCTTGTCCCGTTTTTCCTATTTTCATCATTCAGATAAAGTGACTTTGTTGTACGGCAGTGAAGTGCCACGCTCTCTGGTGTTAATGTCAACAGTGGTGATGATATGGTTGCCACGGTAGTTCAGTGTTCGGTTTTCAGTGAATTGCTTCGAGCATGTTTTATTCTCGGTGCTAAGCCCAAATTTCACCCGACGAATGAGGATATAGTACTCGGTTTTTCCTCTTTGTATCCAATCGTGACTGACTTTTGCCGTCTTGGTAGTCATATTTTTATGCATTTGTCCGCTTTCAGCAATGAAATCACCTTCCCTTTCGGAGTCTCAGTTCGGTGTACAGTGTCCTTCTTGTGCACACGGGCCCATGCTGTCTCTCGCTACTCAGCCAACGAAATACGTTTGTTCGGCCTTTCGCCGCCAGGGTGATTGTGAGCGTGATCGCATTGCTGCTCAGAATTCTATAAACAACACACGCTGGCCAGTAGACCGGCTACGATCAAGCAGCCCCAGTCGACGTGGTTACTGCTTGGACTGTGATTCCTTATTTCTTGTAACCAGCGAACATCCGGACCACCGTTCGCATCAGTGCCATATCGGGCTTACTGACGAACTTTTGAACATGCCCACTTATTTGTTGACACCATTAGAAAAGTCAGAATCGAATGCGGTGCGCAGCTTGGTTCGCTTGGAATAACTTTTTTCCTTGCAGCAGTACCTATACTCATTAGACACTCTTAATGAATTGTATTCAGTCCTCCATCGGTTGAACATTCAGTTCGTTGTATGTGTCGGCTGTCCGCGTCTACATGAATTTATCCAATTGGAACGACGGATCAAGGGACAGAAAATTGACTCATACCTTCTTGACATTGATTTCCGGCTAGTAAGTTGACTACTTTGATGGGCGATCTAACCCAAGGCATTTAATTGTAATAGCAATATTTCCACAAGCGCCACTTCTCCCGGTACAACATGGTCAACCATCATTTCTTCTCTTGTGAGCATCGTTCACAGTTTCAACAATTTTGTCAACATATGGATGAGAATGGTCTTATTTTCTGTGATCCGCCTTTTGCTGCGCCTCTGAGGTTATTGCTCGATCAGTTGGCTAGACTCGGAGACATGCTCCCCACTACTCCTGTAAATCATGGCAGCATGGTACAAAACAGTCAAACTTTTCCATTATAATTATCGTTTGCAGAATTCCAATCGTCATGTTGTCTTTCCCGTCATGATCACTCTGCCACACTTCTTTGATCGGAAGCTGAAAAAGATTAATCCCTTGTATACTCTATTGGACTACAAGGTTGGTTGGTTACCCGGCCTGTATATTCTGTCAAACTTCTCCAGGTTACCTACACAAATCACCGGCGTTTCGATGGGGGCACATCGACAGAGACTACGCAGTCTGGTCGGCGCAGGGATTCAGTCGTGCGCATATTCACAAATTTGCCGGCCTCTGTGGTACAACCCCCGGAGAGACTGAAGTCACAATTCAGGTACGGTTTCCATAAAAGACGGCGTCTCAACATAACCGTGTGGAACACTAAGAAACAAGGCCTTCCTCTCGCGGAATTTCGGTGTTGATAGGCTGACCTAAGACAAAGTTACATCACCCGTTAGTGGCCGGGTGGTCTCGCTTCCGAACCTTAGATTTGTGAGATGCGAGCTGCAAATGGTTTCAAAAAGTGTTGAAACAGTTGTAGAGTACTTACGGCTTTTTCGGCACAGTGTCCTGACTTAGCGAAAATTCGATGGAATTCTTCCTAGATCACATATTGTCAACAAGAAACGTCAGAATTTTGAACTGCAATATCATAGATACGTGGTTATGGACTGACGAACAGTCACTTCTTTTGCATGACAAACCTTGTGTATATTGCTTTTATGTCATCGTTTTCTTACCGCATGTTGTTTGGTTATAGATATTGCCAACCGTGTTCGCGCTATTCAGCACTCAACAATCGTCACTGTGGTCTTTGTGGTCGTTGCCCCACCAAGGTACGTCTGAACTACTGCCTTGCGGTGCAACTTTGAGGCTTCACTCACCAGTAGTCTGCCGTAGTAGTCTGTCGTATATCTTGCGCCTTTTGGAATAGTGTCACGGGTGAGTATAATGGATTCAGCCCTGTACCCCATCTTTCTCGCCATGAAAAGCACAATGAAGCAACTCGTTCTTGAGACTTATGGAATGTCATATTACACGGCCTTCCATTGTTTTCCCCTGCTTATTTCCGGCTATGGTACAAACTCTTTTGAACGATAAGATCTATGAGCCATCAAAGAACTGTGGCTTGGTTCTAGTTCTTTTTTTCGTTTGTTTTATATTGGCATTTGACCCTCGAGATTTATATTCTCTGCACACAGCGGCTACGTCTCTGATCCGCAATGTAGAGTGGACCGAACAGCGCCGGAGTCAAACTGATACCCCAAATGACTGAGTTTGGCAGATGTTGCTCTGCCTTCAATTTGGAAGTTCATCTCGCTATCACCTGATTTTACACTCTTGTTTGCTTGTTCGAGTGGCAGATCCAGTCCGGACATGTCCCTTTGGAATATCCAAACACTCTTCTGGAGCTCTTGTTTGAATGATGTCGCCATTGGAAACATCCTAGTCAAGGTGTAACATCAGTCTAGTTTATTATTCTCATGTGACCTATACTTGGGTATTTGGGAGAGGTCAGTATGCCGCACACGCCTCAAAGCCATCTAGATGTCAATAGATATTGTCGTTGTTTCACGAGGCGTTTCGAATTCAGATAAGAGATATGAAACTGGTGTCACTAGGTTACCACGAAACGGTTGAGTCTGAGTTCCTACGGATGTTAGCTTAGCTTGCTCTTTTGACCATCTGGCTACCTGTTGGTTTGGAAAAAACCCCGGCATAAAACGGAAGTTTTCATGGTTTGAGAGTAGGCAGAACACTCAACCGTACACGGACGGTAAAAAACGTTTGGAAATCAGTTGTCAAGTTTGGCGAACAAATCAGCAGTCAGGAACGTGGCTGCAATTCAGAAAGACATTTGTATGAAAATGAAACAGGTGAGACGTGGTAAAGCTGATTCAAGTGGGCGTTCCCGCAACAGTATGGGGGTTTGGGAGAGGTTCTCTGTAGTGTTACTGGGCATCGTTGATTGAATGATATAGAATTATCAGGTACGGCGTTAGCTGGAAAAGCCTTGAACCTTCGGACGAACAGTGCTCACTCGTCGTTTTGTTACTGCCCTCAGTTTTAGGTGTTCTAACATTCTTTTCCTTTTCTCTGTTCCATTTTTTAAGCATGGACGAACGTACAGGCATTGCAAACATTGTGCACGTTGTGTTCCACCCAACCGAAAACATTGTTTTGAATGTGGTCGTTGTGTGTCTAAGATAAATTGCTCTCACAGATCCGAATAAACCATATACTGAATATGCATTCTTAAAGGGACTTTTTTGAACCCATGTATGTTTTGCTACCAGTAGGGCCGAATACAACCTCAGATGTGGTCGGTTCTCAACTGTGCACCTCTCGCAGGAAACATCCTGTACAAAGTAATTTTTGGTTTCGCCTAATCGATTTGGTTTAGGCCCGTGAATTGTTGATTTACCCCGAAGTAAGTTTACAACACCAGTCTTTTGTGGAGTGCTTGCAATTAATATTGAGATGACCTCGTAGCCGCGAATTCACTAGAATTCGGATCGTCGATTGGTCATTTGCTTACAGCGTAACTCCTGTTTCTGCTGTGACATCCACTCGGAAACTTGTTTGCGTTGAAATATTGACAGTTGTTGATTCCATCTCGGTTTGAATGATGCCAGGTAGTCTTACTGTCTGTGAAATGGGGCGTCCGTTTGGCATCATCATCGGTGTTGACCCTAATACTCCACTGCCATGCAAAACGCTTTATTTGACTATAATTAAAGCCTTAGAGTGAAAGGAAGAGAGAAGAGCGGTTGAGGGAGAGGCCTGGTGCTAGCCTATCGCAGGCCTTCTTAGATGTCCACGCCTCCAAGCGCTTAGAAAATCTCGAGGGAAACTGATACCACAGCATCAANGTTGAGGGAGGGCCTGGTGCTAGTCTATCGCAGGCCTTCTTAGATGTCCACGCCTCCAAGCGCTTAGAAAATCTCGAGGGAAACTGATACCACAGCATCAAATTGGTCGAAATACGTCTTAATGACCACCAATCCACACGAGGTGAGGTTCTGAGATAACAGTTGTCGAACACACCTCATTTCCGCTCCCCGAACAGGTCAGGTCTCATGGCGACACAGAAAAACAGCCCGCACTGTAGCCTGCTACACATGTCCCCTGAGATTCACGGATACACCACTTTGACTCCATAATTGTCTCAAATTAGCAAACATGACCCGGGACTTCCAGATTCGTGCATTGACCTCATCTCTCACAGTACAAGCAGAACTAATACAACGTCCAAGATGCGTAAGGCGCTCCACAAATTGCAGTGGCTGTCTCTAGATTGTAAGTGGCGCGTTCAGTGACTGCATGTCCAGGAGCGTGACCTCACACTTTGTGGGTTCAAAGTGCATATCACAAGACGAGATGACTTTGGTTAGTTCCTCCAAAAACACCTGCACCTTCTCCTCTTTGCAAACGAGAACATTGTAGTCTGCATAATCGAGATCGACAAGGTTTTCTTGACAGGCTATTCGACCATCGGGTTTTGGAGACCTTCCAGCGTTTTTCTCGTAGTTCCATCGATCACGGAGTTAAAAAGGAATGGAGAGAGTGGGCATCCTTGATGGATACCACCTTATGGACAGAATCTTCTGGAGAGCTCCCCGTGTACTCTCACGTCCGGAAGTCTGAGAATACAGAGAGCTTATTATGTTCACGAACTTCCGGGGCATTCTTTGGTGGGCAAGCGTGTCAAGAAGAAAAGACTGGTCAACCCAGTCGCATGCGCCTTGGAAATTCAGGAATATAGAATTTTGAGTCGCTTATACGTATGGCGTCGTTCTAGCACCCAAAGGTGTATGAATATTTGGTCAACCCGCCTCCTTACCAGGTCGGATACCCACTTGCTGCTCTCGAGTCAGTATCTCACGAGCCACCGTAAGGCAGCGAAGCACAATTGACGCCAACATTTTCGTTTCGATAGGGGTTAAGCTGATCGACCTGTGGTTACTGCACTCTCTACAAGCCCCTATTTTGAAATTGGACACTATCCAGTTGTCTCAGTCGTCTGGGACAGACTCCTTTTCCAAAATGCAAGCAAGCAGATCAGACAAGCGCTGACTGAAGACTCCATCCCCATCTTTGAACAATTCAGGTGATAAGTCATCCGGATCATAAGCTCGGTGGTACTTGGGAGAACATATGCAGTCGTCAACCTCCGAGGCCGCAGATGGTTTTGCGTTCACCGTCCAGGGTTCTTCATCAGCTGTGGGTTGCAGCTGGTGGGCACGACAATTGTCTTTCAAAGAAGACATCGAAGACAGCCAGATAGACTGGTTATCAAGGCTTGAAAATTGATTCCGAGATACATGGGGATGTCGGCGCCATGTGACAAGCAGATGTTGTACGCAAAGCCGATGCAAAACGATCGGAGTTATCAGTTCAAAGTTCTGGGCCTACAAGGTGAGAGTTATTAATGGGCTGGCGAGAGGGGAAAGAAAATGTATGTAAAAGATAAAGAAGGTAGACGTCAACAATAGCCTGTTTTCGCTTACCTGCCCTGCTGTATGCGGCGAGTAAGCCGGCTCGGTTGATGGTACCGCTCTCGACAGCCGGCGTGTCATGAGAGCCTTGTTAGTTGTAAGTGTCATGGTTATACATTGGCTGGTATACTGTCAGGGCGCCGACGCTAGACAGAGAACGATTAGGATCCTCAACTAAAGCCTTTAGCTCAAAAGCCTAACCGCAAGGCAGTGGTGTTTGGCGGGAAATGCTATTACCACTTCTACGGAACAAGTCGCTACATGTTCCAGCCCGCAACCTGGAGGATCAGGAGACTGTTTGTCAGACCTGTAACCGGTGACCAACCTTGTATGAGAGACTGTGAGTGTCGCGGTGATGCTCCTCAGTATAGCACAATGGGTCACTGAGGTGCGCAAACCTTCACACCACGGTAAGGTCCACTCTCTTGGTGACGTCTTCACTGAGGTGCTTACGAACTACGGATACTATATACATTCAATTTTCGGTCCCGCTCGTTTCTTTGGTCGATATTCACTCCAAAGTAAACTCGTTTACACTCTCCTCCCTTGCAAGCTCAACGTTCTGAATTGGGGTTTCAACCAGGACTTTCCTAGTCCGGCTGTGTCTGCATCCTTTGTAGACAGTACACATTCGTTGCATTGGATTTATTTGGCTTTATCCTCAAGTCTGAAAACAAGACTCTCTGAATTTTTATAGCCAATAACTAAACTTTTCTTACGCTCTGATTCCATTTCAGACAAGTGTATCTGATATGCTCTCCCAGTTCTCCTCGACCTTCATTTTCGGTATATTACAGGAAGATGCGACGTTGGTTTCGCGCGTTCGGCTGTTGTCTGATTAGCTTGGTCGCTCTTTTCGCCCTCATTCACGTCCTGATCTCATTGATCGCAAGAGGGACCAGCAATCCATCGGTATCAACTCTAAATTCGACGTCTAACCTTCCCAAACGGTCAGTCTTACACTGCACCTACTTCACTTGCTTTAACGCTTCAAAATGCGCTTTTGAGTACACTGGGCAATCGCTTAATCGAATATCCATCTATGTTTATCCACAAGTTGAACACGTGCTTGTTTCCGGCCGCCGTGTTTCGCTAGGATGTAGCCGTCAACAAATCCAACTGCTACGTGCACTCCGAACCAGTCGCTACATTGTGAGCGATCCTTTGAAAGCCTGTGTATTTGTTCCAAGCATAGACCTACTGAACGGATTGAGTTCAAACTTTGCACATTCCTTACAGGTACTTAGCACCCTTCCCTGGTAGGTTTTTTCCTTATTTTCCATCTCATCTTTTGTCAGGTGGGATGGAGGAGCCAACCACTTACTGTTCGGAATGTTGCGAGGGAAATACTCCGTTTTCTCTGGAAAAGCAATCATTGCCCACGCGACTCACTCAAAGTGGACTTATCGTCCGACATTTGATGTATCCATTCCGGCATACAATCCGCTTTACGACATCACGCCTTCAAGCTCTGCGTAGGTTGTCTTTGTTTTATCCGTCTATGAACTCAGTCCTGTTTTCAGAGATACTCACATTTTAACCGTCTTGCCAGTGGCGAATGCAGATCCGGCTACCATTAAACAGTTGCTCCTAGCCCACAGAATCCCAACCTTTCCAGGAAATGCATCTGTGTTGGTTCTTGATCCTGTTCTGCCTCAATCACGTTCATATGGAACCCGAAGTGCATCCCTCTCTATCAGTCCATATGACCCTCCTTCTCGAACAATTGTGGACTATGGAGAGGCTCTTGTGGGGAGCCTCTTCTGCCTCATCATTCAGATTCCACCAGTCGGTCAGTTCGCCCTGTTTGATTCTATGAGTGCGGGCTGTATACCGGTGATTGCTGACGATAACTTTATCTTGCCGTTCTCTGAAGTGTTGGACTGGTCCAAGTAGGTTCTGCTAGATGCATGGATTCAGAGCATTTTGTCGTACTCACAGTGTTTCACCTATTTTAGAGGAGCTATTTTTCATGTTCTCTTTTTCTGCAACGTCAAGACTTGTGTTAGGAGGGACATACGAGTAGGATCATTTTTCCGAGGGACTTTTCTTGCTGGTACACGTTTATTTAGTGTGAGCGAGTTTTTGGTGGCCGACTCATTTGTTCAGGAATTTTATCGGTGATAAACGCTTGTTGCTTCCGAGTCTATTCTGAGTCCAGGACACTGACTGAATATGACACCGAGCAAAGTGATGGTGAGTTATGTTCATATAGCAGTAGGTCAAATGGTTTGTCTGTGGCCTTTGTTATTAACCCGTAGGAGGGATGAAATCTAAGGTGCCATCAGGTTTACCAAGTCAACACAGGGGCAACCAAAAAACCGGAGATGCTGTTGAACCGCGAACCTTCCGAAGAGAAACATGCGTCTTTGCTCCTTTTTTGCGTTGGCTTTCGATCGCCCACACACAGCAAGTAGCAGCTATAGAGAGCCATGATAGTGCAGCAAGAAAAATCGGTGAACTGCATAGTAGATGTTGATCAACAGTTCACATATCATGAGCCTGCTCGTATTTTCTTGAGGATTGTTAATCTTCTGGGGCTCCGTTTCTCAATATAGCGATTGAAGAAGATAGCTTGCGCTTGGTTTATCTACCAAAGTGCGTGGCGGACAGTAGGTATGTGATCACAAGTTGGTGAAAATGTCCAATCTCGTACTCATTGCCAGCGTGATTACTGATAAAGAGAAGGCCTTTCACAAGCTGGCCCGCGATTACTCAGGGCATTCCATAGCCATGCTGTTGTCCCGATAAGATCTTTGTCGGTGATGGGACAACTACTTTTTCACTCTCCTAGAATCGCCATTCGTGTGCGTCACAGTGAGCTGCACAAAATCGTCACGACGTTGACCTCCCTCAGTTCCCAGGAAATTGCTCAGTTTCAGCGTCAAGTGAAGTTCATTTTCAACCGCTACTTTTCTACGATTGAGAAAATTGTACACACCACTTTGGATATAATCAATGATCGTGTCTTCCCCTACTATGCTCGGTCATATGTTCAATGGAACAGTCCAGATTACATGGAGGTAAGTGGGTGTTTTGTGATCAGGCGCGATGTTTTGGTGTTAGGCTGTACGCACGGACCACGGCCGTACTCTTCAACAGTGGTTAGCTCTATCCTTTCGGCCATGCAGCATAGCTTTTAAGGATCACTATCTTTTGTTGGGACCACCTAAGAAGACTTAGTTCGCCTCATTGTTCCCTTCTTAGTCCTATAAATGTGGCGTTAAGGTCGTAGTGTTTCATGTTGACTGAAACTATATGCAGTCCTGTGCAATATATAATGCAATATATAATGTGCAATATAATTTACTGACCAGAAGGTCCGTGGTTCGAACTCCAGCTGTGCCTCTCGACTTCCCCTGTCTAGGCTTGGGCAACCTGTCAGTATCTCAGCCTTCGTGCTTCCTTCGGGTGGTATGACAGCTAGGCACCGGAAGGGTGGTGCAGCTGAACACCGTGATAATTCAGAAGTGAGAGAGAGAGAGAGGACGGTGCCAGTGACCGTACCGTGAAAAAGTGTAACACAGAGACCATGTTGTATTGGGATCGAAGTGGTGAAGGCGAGCCTTGTGGGTGTCCTGTAGACCGTTGTTCAACGCATCTGGTCTGGTGTCCGGTCACCAAATTTATTTCTTTTCAGATAAATCAACGGCGTTCTAGTCAGACCATATGTCGTTGCATCTCTAAATCTACCAGCCCCTTAGGAGACGTATAGTTTCGGGGAAAAATTTAGATAATATATTTCAGTTATGGTGTCCTTTTGATACATAGCTGCGGCGCAGTTCGTAGGATGAGCGAGCGCCGCGTTGACGCTAGGTTACCCAAGGTTGAACAGGAGCAACCACAATGTTGCGTGGAAGCCATGGGTCTCCGGGTAAGTAGCTCGTCGGTTAGTCTTTGAGCACGAAGGTAGTAACTGGTTTCGCTCTTTTGTTCGCGCCTGGGAGGGATATCCATGTATCCACCAATGGTGCTATAATCTCTTTTCGACCCAGTTAGGAAAAAATCTGATACTTCTTTGGTACCTAGCTGCCATGCTAACGGAAGGATACGCGAGGGCTGGAATATTGCCAGGTGCCCTAGCCTAGATAGAAAATGTCTAGATGCAGAGGTTGGGTTCAAGCCACGGACCTTCCGGTCAGTAAGCTGACGCCTTAACAACTGAACTCTCTCGAGCTCGAGCATTGTTGTTCGAAGCATTTGGCCCGCCAGTCGAAGCGTTCTTTGTTCAAGATGGTCGCTCCATTCTCAATGAGGGCTTGAACCAGTTGCTCTAATGAAAAGGAAAGTATGTAAGAGTACGTATGCTGAGCCCGCTAAACAGTCGAACTACTCATACGACCCCTTTTACTCAACATACCAGTACTGAACTCATGTACTTCGGTAGCGTGAAGCCAAACAATGTAGGCTTTGTTTCTAACTCCACGTAATTCACTGTATTGGGCTGTTTTTTCCAGAGACTTCCTTCCATCCATATGTTTAGTCCGCAACAATTTGCCCAGAATTTAGGCTTGGTATGAGTGTTCTTCATAAATGAGGATGATTTCGACTAGTTACCAGTGATCGATCATTATGAGGTGGTTATGCTGACTCAGCTTGCTCATTTACTGTCCGCGATTACGTTGCGTAAGGGGCGGTGTGGACAGCGATAAAGACTATGCGGCAATAGGACCTTTGGTTGTCAGTAGTTGGTGAAATTCGGTCAACTTGATCATTAATCTTGTCTTGAAGTAGTTTTCCTGACTAACCGAGGTACACTGTAGCTGGAACCGGGTGTATTTGCTGACTGGACTTTTCATCCCAGCAACCTGACGTTCAAGCCAAGCGTCTTCAGCTACTTCTGTCTGAACGTTTTCGAACTCTCACGGCTGAATTTCTTGTGAGTTGGGGATATTTACGTTGCCTCGCCCATTAGATTTCGTTGGCGTAATAACCCCAATTTACCACTCAGATAGCGCCACAGATGCTGCTAACCTACACATGTCGGTCCATCATCCAGAGAGATAGGTTCGCCAGTGCTAAGTCGAGTTTCATCCTTACAGGGATTGCATCGATCACATCTCTATTATGCCTGAAACTGTGCCACTCCTTCCATCGTGCGTAATTCGAAATGGCGGGAACTTGGAGGCGGACAGAACTTGATATGGCGGAAGGGAATGCATGATGCTATGTAAAGTTTAAGTACCTTCGAGGATGGTCTCCACGTCACCCTCTCCGTGCTTGGCTGAAGACCCTGGACGATTTCAGTGGCGTTTACGCCGTCAATTTCTATCCAGATTGTATGACTTAATGTCAGCGTTGTAGACACCTCAGATTTTCGCGTTTGGCTGATTTTAGCTCCCCTAGCTTTCCAATTTTTCTTTGCATTATGAGGCTTTACTCATGTGAATCGACATAGTTGTGCTGCACTGAAGCACCGGTGTTATATGTTGTTTCTGTCAACACTGATGATGACTTCTTCCGGCCACTGAAGGTGGCCACCTTTCTGGATGTGAAAGCTGACGTCAGACGTTGTGGCAGTATTTGGCAACGAAGTGTCCCCTCGAAATTCGTATGTGTGCTTGTTCGCGTGGACGTGGACCTGTGTACGGCAAACTCCGTCCTCATTTCGCCACATCCAGTGATGTCTCGCGAGGGTGCTCTCTTTCGTCCTTCTTCAACTTCTTTACCACCTTGTGGGGGGGGGCGCTCGTTTACTGACACTGAGTGTGCTGACGCAGTTGCTTTTCTTGAGTATGGCCCTTTAGAGCTATAAAACACTTCAAATAAAACAAGTGTTTCTGTTGCATGATTTGTGCGTTTTATCCCTGGAAATTGTAAAGTTCTACTGGAAGACTAGGTGAGGGAGAACGCAAACCTCATGCTTGCAAATGCACTGACCAGTGGGGTAGATAAATCCATATATTTTAGCTGCTGTAACAGTTCCGGCAGACTGGCGCAGGATGTAACAACTCCGAACTTCAGAAGGCCAGAGTTTGAAATTCAAGAGTGGATGTTAGACTATTGCGGTTCCCTGCGTCCTACTTTGTGGCACCGAGACGTAGCTACTGCTTGTAGACGATTCCCCATGACTGTGTTTGCCCATCGATGCCTCTGAAGCATTGCGCCCGTTTAGTGTGCGAACATGAGGTCAATAATACTGAGGTCCTGCTAGTAGTTTTCCGGAAAGATACCTCTGCCCAGCTAGATCGGTTGGCCGAATTCTGTAGGTAGGCTGGTTAGGCAGTGTACTTCGTACGCTTGAGGATCGTTTCCTTGTGAGGCTTGTCTCGGTGAACGGTGTGTTGAGTGGAGACGATTCAGGTACAGTCATTTCATAACTTGGTAACTGGTGTAACTTCAGAAGGCCAGAGTTTGAAATTCAAGAGTGGATGTTAGACTATTGCGGTTCCCTGCGTCCTACTTTGTGGCACCGAGACGTAAGCTACTGCTGTAGACGATTCCCCATGACTGTGTTTGCCCATCGATGCCTCTGAAGCATTGCGCCCGTTTAGTGTGCGAACATGAGGTCAATAATACTGAGGTCCTGCTAGTAGTTTTCCGGAAAGATACCTCTGCCCAGCTAGATCGGTTGGCCGAATTCTGTAGGTAGGCTGGTTAGGCAGTGTACTTCGTACGCTTGAGGATCGTTTCCTTGTGAGGCTTGTCTCGGTGAACGGTGTGTTGAGTGGAGACGATTCAGGTACAGTCATTTCATAACTTGGTAACTGGTGTGTCCGTGGATTATGTCCTGGGGACGGTACAAACCAAAGGGCATTGCCTCTGATAGATTTGATTATGCAACGAGGGCAGTGAAGATCCTGCATCAAAGCCACCTTCTCCATCGTGTAGCTCCCTCCCTGGCATACTGGACTGACAAAACCATTTAATTTCAATGCGCTGGCTGGACCATCGGTTTCATTGTTTCGTCCTCCTTCCACTATTCTCGTGGTCTTCGGTCAGCGAAACAATTGCAGTTGACTCGACTTGTATGTGGAATTAGTTGCTGAAGGCTGAACTGAATTACTTACCAAGATAATTCGCGTCGCCATCGGTCGAACAGTTTTAGTGTGATGTTGATGGAGCTTTGAAACGTTGAACCTTGATCTATTGAGTTTTTCTCAGAATTGGGAAAAACGTGACGAGCCGTTGATTCAGTTGACTATCAAATTCTGCATTGTCTCTTCGTCTTTCCTCCACTTTCTACTTTTTTCGACGGGGCGTAGTTTTTCTTTCAACCACCACCTTCACTACCTTGGAGTTACTATCTATGACTCTGATCAGCCAGACAGTCGCTTCGAGTCCAACTGCTATTGCTCGGTACGTTTGATAACCTTGGAGTTGGTTTGATGTGTAGTGAAATTTCCAGCTCTGTTTGCCGTTCTTGGCTGAGTTCACCACAGTTGGAATGTCGTATTATTGTTCCACTAGTTGGCGGACCTCAGAGTATGCATGAACTCAATTACTGTTTTGTCCAACACCGTCATCTTGATTATTTTTCCAATCTTGACTAATCAGCAAACAATATTGTTTTCTCTAGAACGCACTACCGCCTCCACCACTTTTGTTCTACCCACCTCGCTCATCGGTGCACGGTCGTTTAACCGCACTGATTCGCGCCCGGGATCACTTTGGGTTGTTGCATCAACTTCTGTTAAAGTTACAGCTTGCTTCTTCACTACATCGTATAGTCGTACTGTGGACCAATCCGAGAATCCCTATTCCAAACCGTAAGTCTTTTTTTTCTGTCACAACACAACCCCGTAGTTGGTAGCTTTTTAGTACGCAATGCATCGGGCCATTTTGTAACATAGATATTCATTTGCCTTTTCTGTCCACGACAGTGTTGAAGTTCGGTACAATGGACAAAAGACTATTGTGAAACCTGCTCTGTGTTCGACTAGGCACATAGCAGGTCTTCCTACGCACTAGATGCTGTCTGCTTAGAATTTTTTTTAATATTGGTACTCCAGGCACCACTCGCTTGTTGGAATAGTCATTGCTCGTATTGGTTGATTTTTTTACACACCCCGCGTCACTAAACATCTCCTATGCAACATGACTGACCAGTCAGTTCCAATACGATTTCTCGGATGACCGACACGCTTTGCCACTCTTGTCCCCTGGATTGGATTGCAGGTCTTCAAGTGGGTAGGAGAGAACATGTCCTCCATATTTCGACGTCTCCTACCGTGGTCTTTTCGCCTGTATATTTAAAAAGGAGTCCGCCGGGATTCCGGTTCTCGTTTTCCTGTAACTTCAGACTTCTGTAATAAAAATGGCCATTCGTTCTAACTGACCGTTGATTCTTACGGAGTGTTCTTAATGGTGGCTTTTTCTGACTCTGTTCACAACTATTCAAGCTACACAATCACTTCTATGGTCTTTTTGATGAATAGTCTTAGGCCCCCATATAGACTATCGACCTTGGGGTGAGGAACGTTATGAACATTCATGTGTACTTTGGGATTCATTCTATAGTACAGTCATTCGTTGTTTTACTCTTGCTCTGGTATGCGAAAGCTCGACAGTGTGCAGCCATTACCATACAGGGAATTAGTGTACAATCCAGCCAACCAATCCACTTTCTACCTCTTTTCTTCCTTTAAATCAGCATCCTTATGGCCTGCTTTGCGTGTCCCCCTGACGGTGCTACCATTCAGCCAATTATTACACGGTCGATACTATCCATTTGCTCAAATTGACACCGAAGCTGTGCTGTCGCTGGATGATTCGACATGTTTGCCAGACCTGCAGCAAATCCAAGCCGGTTTTGAGGTAAGACCAAAGTACCAGGAGCTTCCACGTGCCTTGTAGATTACCCTTTCGAGTTTGGGTAGGTTTTTCTAGGCCTGATACTGAGTCATCTTAGTTTTCCGTACTAATATACAGGTTATGTCCAGATTGCTTCGGGAAGCCTTCCTGGAAGCTCCTTCGATTTGCCTAACTGCACTTCTCTCACTTCACTTGACACACTAAGTCTCTTAGAGCGTTGTGTGCTGATATTCTGCCGCAGACCAGTCTCTAGAATGGGCTACGGTGTACGGAAATCATTACAATGGAATTCGGAACGTTAAGAGGCGTCAAGGTCATGCACCATTGCTTCCACCACTATGACAATGAGGCACCTGGAGAAACCTCTGTGCTAAGAAAACTGGTTACCACAGTCCACCGTCCGAACCTTGAATTTTTTACTGGTGCCAGGAGGAGCGACCGGTCATACTTGGACCGCTTTGCGAGAATGAAAACCTAAGTTCGACTTTAGTAAAATTCTACTGAACCAGTTAAAAACACAGTCTTGCTTCGCCAAAAGTGTATCGAGTAGACGTAGCCTAATGGCCCGTGCAACAGACACCACCAGACTTTGTGAGGCGGAGATGCATTCAACGTCTTCATGTTGTCATGCTCTCAGCGCCCGCTCTATACAAACACTCTTCATTCTACCGTTCGAAGCAACGAACCTGTGTACAAACTATATTTCCTACCGAATCGCTTCAAGTATTTTTCATCAAGTTCATTATCTCCCGGCTGTTCCGTCCATCGGTCCGAAGAGTAACGCCATGCCTATATCGTTGAGATGTAGTGAGCGGTGACCTGCTAGCATGCAGTGTTGCACTGCCTCTGGCTCAGTGGCAAAATTATTCTGTTTTGTCCCATCCATCATATTCGTCAGGTAAACGACGTGACAATTCTCACTGCTGCAGCTCTGAAGGAAAAGGTTTTCTTATGTGAAAAATGGCTTCAGCTGAACATTCTTCAGGAGATGGGCGAGATGGCGCGAATTTACTGACCGAAAGGTCCGTGGTTCGAACCCGACCTCTGTCTGTCGACTTCCCCCGTCTAGACTTAGGCAACCTGGCGGTATCCCAGTCCTCGTGCAACCTTTGGGTGGCATGGCAGTTAGGCACCGAAAGGGTTCTACAGCTGAACTTTAAGACTCATTTTCTCCGTACTGTTAATCAACTTTATCCCTATACTTGTGGAGCTTGTGGGCACTCTCTAAATTCGGAGCCAATGGTATCACACTCTTTGGAATTCTCCGTCATTGCCTAGGTACTGATGGTTGCAAAAGAACAGTGTAGTTCGCTGGGACTTCATACAGATTGCGGTGTTGTGACCACCCCGCAACATCTCAGCCACGATCCGCCTTTTTTTCTGTTGGTTGGGTATCTAAAATGTGTGGAGATCCTATAACCGCGTGATATTGTATCGTGCATGCGCGAAGCAACCCTACTGCTAATAGTTGTAGCGGTATCACTTATTAACTGGCCATAGAAGTAATTCCTGTTTTGCATGTGACTTACATTCTAATATACACGATTGCTTTTAGCTCTGGTGTCACAATCCAGATCGACTAATTGGTCTGACGAACGGTACGATTGTCGGTTCAGCTCGAAAGTTATCCGACGAGGCCTCCTCTCTCAGTGCTGTGTTCGGCCTCACCATATTTCATAAGGTTTGTCCAGCAGTTTCATCAAGTTGTGTGTTTTGACCGCCTTTTTCTTTCCTTGTTTGTTCCTTCCGAATGGTTTAACATAGTTTTTATGTCAATCACACCATTTGCCGAATATGTGCAGCAGAATGAGAACAACGCTATCGCAAGATGGCTTCATTTCGCTCCCTCCTAGCAGCTGCAGTACGGGTAAGGCATGATGAGAAAGAAGAACAAAACTCCCCGTATGACGACCGCCCAAATAGTCGTGATATCGAGCAATATAACCATCGCCATGTAGAGAGTGAACCCAAATCTTCCTGTGAGCACTGAGTAACCTGTTTGCATCTTGTAATCATGCGCAGGAAGATGAGACAGGTTCAACTCGGTGTTTCTTCCTCAGTCGAGTGTTGCGTGACAGGAAATGTGACCTCCCTACCAGATTGGGTAAAATCCGGATCACGTAGCAGAGTTGAGACAAGCTTTGCATCCATCTCAACTCGCCAGCCGAATTCGCTGCAACTGCTCGTAGAAGCTTACCGAAATTTGGGCTTGGAAGACACGACCTCACCGGTTCACTTGGGGACCTGTTCTACGTCGCACTTCGTAATGCCCCATATGCACCCAGCAAAGGATGTTGGAACCCGTCTGGCCACCACTTTATGACTGCCTGAAGAGAGTGAGTCAGTTCAAGGGGTTGACCTTAATGGATAACTAGCTTCGGATACCGACTTCGCTCACAGTTCCAAATAATTAGCTGGATCCTAGTGTATTTACGGTGACGCATATCCCGTAGCCACTCTTCTGGAAAACGTACATGTAACCTTTCGTCCAGAAAACAGGGGCAACTTAACTGTTCCGATTTTAGATTGCTGTTAGTTATTACAAATTACAGCAACAGGGTTTTTTTGCGAGGAACATTTCCATTGTCAAACTAGACTAGTCTTGGTAACCATGAACCGCGACATCTATTTCTTGTTGATTTATAAGTGTACAACTGACCACTATCCGTGTATTCTCCCGAGAATCGGTCACAAATGCAGAATCCCCGGCAGATTTTCAGATTGGCGTTTGAACGGCTCTCCTATTGGGGGGGGGGGGGGGGGTGCACTACTAAAACATCGAGTGGGGCGAATTGATGTCCACATAGATAAACAGTATACTTCAGCTAACAAACTCGAATAATTCATCCTTTGACAACATGGGTTAAGTTGTGTTAGTACGCGTACAGACCGAAGCTTACATGTGCAGAGGTCGTGTCAAAAAGGTCATCATCGGTCACCACACGATCCGGATGGCCTCAGCGGAGCTTGCCAAATGGCGACTAGCGGAGTGGGTGTGAAAATGATCAAGGCAGGAACGTCGCCGTTAGCTAGACAAGAATAAGCAAGCGAGTGGCCGCAGTTGCACTAGCTCTCTATGTTTGACCGATCGTACAGCCGTGTTTTTGGTCTTCTTATCGCGTAGTCTGACAGGCCTGATTCAGGCGTAACCGACAGGTATCCCCCGTTGGAACAAGTTGTGATAAATACAGGTCTATGGGGGTTCAGCAGGCGGCGGTTCTGATGTACACAAGTATGCCAGTGCTGAGGATGTCTTGCAGTCCGTGCGTGGCGCAGAAGTCAGGTCTTTATCAAGATTGTGACGAATGCTGTAAACTGGAGATGTTATCGATGACAGACAGCATTCCAGCGCGGCGCCTGTGAACGAC